CCACCATACCACAACCACCACACCACAGCCACCACATCATGGCCACAGCCACCACCCACAGCCAGCACACCACAGCCACCACACCACGGCCACCATACCACCACCACCATGCTATGGCCACCACACCACCCCACAGCCAGTACACCACAGCCAACACACCACCACCATCACACCATAGCCACGGCCACCACACCACAGCCACCATAACATGGCCACGGCCATCACACCAGGGCCACCATACCATGGCCATGGCCACCACATCATGGCCAGTACACCACTGCCACCACACCACCCCACAGCCAGCACACCACAGCCAACACACCACCACCATCACACCATGGCCACAGCCATCACACCAGGGCCACCATACCATGGCCATGGCCACCACATCATGGCCAGCACACCACTGCCACCACACTACACCACAGCCACCACACCACTGCCACCACACCACCACCATCACACCATGGCCACCACACCACACCACAGCCAGCACATCACAGCCACCATACCACGGCCACCACACCACCACCACCACACCATGGCCACCACACCACATGTCCACAGCCACTGTGCACAGCCATAGCCACCACACCACAGCCACCATACCACAGCCACCATATTACGACCACAGCCACCACACCACAGCCATGGTCACCACACACCACAGCCACAGCCACCACACCATGGCTGTGGCCACATGATGGCTACCAACCTTGGCCACCACACCATGGCCACCATTCCATGGCCACGCACACAACGCATTCACAGCCACCACACACCACGTCCACACCCAGTACACACCCACATCCATGGCCACCACACACCCATGTCCTCAGCCACCTGCCCACCTGTGTCCATGGCCACCCACGCCCATCCAGGCATACTCACACCTTCCACACCCACCGTCCAGTGCACTCCCAGGCACATGGCCACCAAGCACTCCCAGCCCTGGTCCCTGCCCACAGACGCTCACTCCTGACACGGGCATGGCCTCCCACACTCCTGCCACACATGGGCCTGCTGCTGATGCTGCGTCCTGGCCGGTGTGACTAGAAGTGACCTTCACTTACACACGCCCACTGAGGGACCAGGCTCTGCCCTGGGCGTGGCACCCTTAGATGGCTGGGCTCTCGTCCAGGACCCAGGCTGGGAGCAGGCGGAGGAGACCAGAGCCTCTGCCTCCTCTGTTCTGTCAGAGAGGGTCCTGCACCGAGTGTCACTCTGGAGATGCCTGCCATCGCTGCCACCCAGCTACAGAGCGTTGGTGTCCAGGCGCTGCCCAGGGACAGTCCCCCTGTGAAGCTGGAGCTTTGACAGAGAAGCTGAGTGCATTTCCAGCAGCACATGGACAAAGTCAGGCCCAGAGGGCGGCAGTGGGGGAGAGGGGGTCCATGGGAGGCTGAACGGCAGCATGGCCCATGGCCAGAGAGCTGGGGAAAGAAGAGGAGGGGCCATTCAGGGCCAGGACAGATCCCAAGCACTCACCATGGGGACAGTCCCCCAAGATCTCTAATTTGATTGTCCCTCTAAAGGGCAGGTTATGTCTGCAGACAGTTTTAAAGCCTGGGAGCAATCAGCTCAGCACTAGTAGAGCTGATATCTGGGTATGCTCACAAAGACAGATGGCCATCCAGGGTGACCTGGGCATTCATACCCAGGCCTCACCCAGGAGGTCGGCATCAGGAGCCTCATGCTGTGGAGTGGGGGTCGACGCCCACCCAGTTGGCCACTGGACAAGCAGCCAGCAGCCTGGGAGGTCAGCACCCCAGCGGCTGCTACGTGTCAGGGGAGGTGCTGTTTCAACGTGTGACCGCGAGACAGGCAGAGAGGTGCCAAGGCACACATCGCCCTGCAGCACGGCACCGGCAGCTGCCAGAGACCAGAGTTCAGTGGGACAGGAGGACTTCCCATAGCCTCACGGGCACGTTCAAGAGTCGGGGAAACCATGGTTAAGAGGCAACGGAAGGTGCGAGGGAACGCCTTGCCAACAGAGGAGACCCATGCAGGGGAGAAGTGACCCAGAAGGGCAAAGTGGACATTCTGGACTTCAAAATCCCACACTCTGAAAATGGAACAGTCTGTGAGAGGAAGGAACCCATGGTGGAGACGGTGCCATCTGAGGAGAGGAAAAGCACAAGGACAGACCACGCTCGTTGGTGTGGACGCCTGTGGTGGCACTGCCCGAACGAGGAGGAGACAGTGCACCAGAGGGCTCAGGTGGGTGGACACGGGGCCACACAGGTGCCGGAGGGCTCCATGGAGACCCTGAGGAGGTCTGGAGCTCCAGGAAGGACAGGCCACATCTCCAGGGCCGCGGAAGAGGGCACAGGGAGCCAGCGAGGCCAGCCTGGACGTCAGGTCTTCCCCTCTCCCGTGAGTCTCAGCTCCGGCATGGAATGTCACTGTCCCCAGCACCCCCTCCAGAGCCATGGCTCAGGAAGGGCCCAGAGGAGACGCCCATGACAGAGAGCGCTGGCTGCCCAGGGAGGACCTTCCTTCAGCTGACCGTGGAGAGGCTCAGGCTGGTGGTGCGCTCAGCCACTGGGGTCCTGGCAGACCTGTGGCAGAGATCCGCAGAGCTGCCACGCGGCCAGGTGCCGACGCTGTGGAGTCCGCCTGGTTGGAACCTCGGGAGCCCTGACTTGATTGGCTCAGCCTGGGAGCGATTTATGTCCCAGGGTTGAGTGGACCTGCAGCATCGGTCAGCAGTTGGGAGAACTGCATGGCAGGGTGTGGTAGGGGCTGGTCAAGGAGAGCCCTGCCCAACCACTGCCAGTCCAGGGTGACCATGGCATCCCCCAGGTGTAGATGTCTCCAGTGAGCTCAGCTGGTCACTAAACAGACAGGCAGAGAAGCATGGCCACTCTAGGGAGGACAGGAGAGTGTGCAGGGCCTCAGGCAGAGGGCGCTGGGGGCTGGGGCTGGGCAGGAGGGAAGGAGGCCCTGTGCTGGCCTGTGGCCATGGCACCCGGGCGGGGATGGTGCAGCTTGGCAGGAGGCTGAGGGGGCCTGGGGAGGCCCTTCCTGCAGGCCTGCTGCGGGGCACTGAGGGCTCGGCCTGCCCCGGGGCTCAGGCGGGTCTCTTTCTGACACAGAGGAGCTGGCCCCCAGCCACAGGCTGAAGAAGAGGAACTCCATTGTGGCGAAGATCCCAGCCAAGGAGGAGCAGGAGAAGTGAGTGCTGAGTGGCCCCTTCTCGGGGACAGCGTCTGTGGCTCAGATGTGCTGCTGGACCTGGCCTCCCAGTCAGGCCACTCCCCTTGTCCTGAGAAGCGTGGCCTCCCCAGGCAGCCCTGCTCCTGGGCAGGGGCTGCAGTCAGGATGAGGGTCTCAGGGCCACTCCTGGAGCTGCTCGGGCTGCCCTGGTCAGGCCGCAGATGGGCTCCATGTCCTGCAGAGGGCAGCAGCCTCCTCCCTGGAGAGCAGGGCTGGAGCCGAGGCTCTGCTCTCCGGGACGCCCCCGGAGTCTTCTCTGTACTCACATGGTGTCCCCAGGATGAGAGAGCAGGGGCTGGACCTAACTCGTGGGGACGTCCTCACCAGTCAATCCCCAGGGACCCGATTCAGGGGGAGAGGTGACCAGGGCAGGCCCGAGGTCTGCCCCCGAGGAGCCAGCCCTCTCACCAGATCGGCACCCAGGCGTTTCCCCCTGTGTGTGGGGTCCCCTCGGCCCTCACACTGCGGCCGCTGTCTCCAGGTAGATGTCCACTGTCCACGTGGCCAGCCCTCACGGGAGGAGTGTGCCCGTGCCTCCCAGGGCTCCCAGCGCGTCTGTCTCCTGTCTGGGGCACTCGCTGGATGCCTCCACCTGTGGCAGCTGCCCATGGGTGGGGGTGGCTGAGCAGGCCCCGGCAGCTCAACTGTCCCCCCCCAGGGGGCACCTCCTCCTGACCCGGGGCTTTCCCACAGCCTCCCCTTCTTCAAGTTCTGCTACCAGTGTGGCCGCTCCATCGGGGTCCGCCTCACACCCTGCACCCGCTGCTATGGGATCCTGACCTGCAGCAAGTACTGCAAGGCCAGAGCCTGGACCGAGTTCCACAGGAAGGACTGCAGTGACATTATGGCCACAGGTAGGCCAGAGGCCAGGCAGGCGTCCGAGAGCCCTTCCCAGAACTTCAGCAGCACCCGGGCCCTTTCTAAGGCTCCTTGGGCCATGGCACGTCCCCATCCCCACAGAGCTGGGCCTGCTCTGCTGACCCCTGGGCTCTGTTCTCAGGGGTCAGGAGCTCTCCTGGACACCAGTCCCCAGAGACCACAGTCCATGGGCCTCTGGTCAATTTCTCCCTCTCAGACATCGTGGCTCTGTAAAGGTGGACAGGTGTCTTCTGGAATCAGCCTGGTCTGCCCACCCCACCCTGCCTTGGTGCCATCAGGGCCAGCAGAGGGAGGGGCCCTGTGCCACACCAGGAGGGGGGGTCCAAAGGGAGCAGAGACTGGAGCTGTCTCTGAGCTGCCCATGGGCCCTGCCCTGGCACACTACTTTGAGTCCATGTGCTGAACACCTTCAGGTCATCCCTCATAAAGTGGGACTTCTAGTGATGGCCCCTGCTGGTGCACGCAGAAGTGGGCCCTTCCGTTTGCAGACCTGGCTGCAGACAGCTCAGGAAACACTGGCCAGAGCACACAGGGCCACTGCAGGTCCCCCTGGGGGGCTCCAGCACTCCCCTGCTGGGGGGGAATGGCGCAGCAGCCCTTTGACCCAGGTGGCAAGGCTCCGTGGACACTGAGCCAAGCTGAGTCCCCAGTCCTGGGCCTGGCCTCCCTGGGGCTGGTCCAGGCCCCCCGCAGCGCCTCTTCCCCCTGCAGCATCCCGCTGGAAGGATGTGTTCAGGGAGGCAGAAGACGGTCAGTGAAGGGGCAGCACTGGACCTGGGCCAGGCGGGGCAGGGCTGTGCCCACGTCTCACTGCCTTGGGCCACCTCCAGGCTGCTGGCCCCTGTGGGAGCTGATACAGGAAGTCACTGAGGCGCCTTGCTCAATAAAGTGGCCCCCCGCAAGCTCTTCACCGTCTGCGCCCACTCCGCCCGCACAGGGTGACGTCCCAGGCCCTAGGCCTGTGTGGGCGCCAGCCGTGAGGCCTCACCGGCTCCCACGGGGCCTGGGCTGGCTGTGCTTTGTCTTTCAGGTCAGGAGGAAGGCTGGGAGTGTTACTGGGAGCTCAGTCCCTGTCCCCCTTGCTGCTCCAATACTCAGGCCATAGTTTTGATAAAAAGGAAGTTTGATTGCTCTGCTAGCCAAGGAGGAGCGCGGGGACTCAGGCCCCGGGGCTGGGGCTCTGCCCCTCAGGGGAACGGAGGGCTTTTACAGAGCCGGGCCAAGGCTGCTTCCGGGTGGGCAGGGCCACCACTCACCGCGGCCGCTCTCGGGCCTCTGGGCACTGTCCCTGAAGCCCGAGTCGCTCCCTGGTGTGCTTGGGGTCAGGCAGCCCGGCCTGGGCTGGAGAAGGGTGGTTTGCTTCTCCCAGGGCTGGGGAGGTGGGGGGAGAAGAGAGGAGAAGCCATCAGCTTTCGATGAGCCCCACGGCAGGGCAGCCGGGGTCATGTCCAGAGCGAAGCGGGCCCTGCTGCAGGAGGATGAGCGGGTAGGGCTGGACTGTGCTGCAGAGATGGCCTCTGGACCAAGGAGTTCCCAGAGACTGGCAGATCCCTGCTCAGACGGGAGGCTGCATCTGCGTCCTTCCCTCGGCACAGGGTCTGATGGGGCCCAGGGTTCATTTCCTAAGAGTCTGTCATGTGCTGGGGCCTGGGGGCAACATGTGCAGCACCCTCAGTGACCTCCTTGATGAGAGGGAGGTGGACAGCAGCCACGCCATGTAGACCAGGGCTGGCGGGACACCCAGTCCTGCCTTGGTGGAGACAGGAGGAGGGCGGGCAGTGACCTGGGAGGGGGCTTCCGGGGGCTGGGACCATGAGCTGAGGTTTGCTGCGGCCAGCAGAGTGGCCGAGGGTGGGACCGGTGGCAGAGGAAGAGGGTGCGCCCTCTGGGGTCTGGAGTGGAGTAGTGCGGGGGGCCGTCCAGATGCTGCGTGAAGGTTCTCCCTGTTTTCTTGGTCTCTGTCAAGAGGGGCTCCACGGGCAGCGGGCAGCAGTCTCCCTGGGGCTGCCCAGCCAAGGCTCCCGTAAGGGGTGAGGAAGGCACCGGGCAGAGCGAGGAGCCCCTGCGCGGAGCTCTGCCTCCGGGTGCGCAGGGCTCCAGCAGGGGTGGCAGGCCAGGCTGGTTGTCAGCAGGGGGGAGCTGGAGGGTCACCGCTGGCCACGGCCCAGGTAGGGGCTGTGCTGGGGGTCAGCAGCTGTCCCTGTGGGTAGGGAAGACGCTGCTGGCCTGACCTCTTATTTGCAGTTACACTTAATTCTCCACGTTAGAGAACACGAAGCCCAAGAGAGCAAGTGCCAGGGTCAGGTCCTGACCCCAGAAGTGGCCGTGGCCAGCCCGAGTCCTTCCAGAGACGCTCAGGCACACAGGCAGGCACGCACACTTGTGTGTAAAACGGGGTGCCCTCTGCACGCTCCAAGACCACGGACCCCCTCCCATGCTCTTCAGGATTTTTCTAGAACATCATTTTCCCCAATGAAAATGGCTTCATGTTTTTTATTCTGTGTGGAAAGTGCACTTTTTGTTAAGAAAGGGGACAAAGGCTAGGGTGGCAGTGACTGAGGGCGGCATCCGGCGTGTCCCTTCAGGCTTCCGTCTGTGCACACCAGCCCTTTCCCCACACACCCTCACACACGCCCCTCAGGGACTGTCTTGCTGGTCATTCCGCACTCTGCCTGCAGGTGGTCACTGGCCCCTTCCACTGCGTGGCTCTCAGGCTCTGCCCACTCAGATCTGTGCCCTCTTCACCCATCAGCTGAGCCCCGGGAAGCCACGCCTTCGGTTTCCCAGGGCCAGTCCTGTGCCCTCCGGGGCTCGGGGGAAGGTGGTGTTGGGAGCAGTGGGCCCATGCCACAGGTCGCGAGTGCCAACCAGTGTGACCGTCTCATGTCCCTCTCCCCTCCTGCTCCTGGACGGTTGTCTCCTGATGGGGCCGGACCCGACAGCATCGCGTTCCTCTTCTGCCTCAGCGTGACCCTCACTGCGTGAAAGTGTCAGTATGTGTTGAGCCCATCTGTCCCGTCCTGCAGGGTTGGGCTGACAGGCAGGCACAGGGAGCCATCCCCAGAGGGGACCAGGGCACAAGGGTGACCTTTGCCTGCACTTCACAGCCATCTCAGGGCACTGCTGTTACCTGTGGTTTTAGAATCAGCCCAGAATCAGTTTTGTGTAAAGTAGGAGAGGCACCTAGCGAGGTCTGTCTGGGGATGACCAGTGGTGACCATGTCAGGACCTCCGTGGGCGCTGCACGCTGTGGTGGCTGTTCTGGGCTCAGTGGTGTCCACCTGCGGCTCGTGTGGCTCCTGCCAGCAAGCTAGCTCCCCCATTCGCTCCCCCACAGCGAATCCAGAGGAACTGGATCTGTCCAGCTCAGAGTGTCTTGCTGGTCACTCTGCCTGGCTTGATGGGGAGACTGTGGCACCGTGCCAGGGCTGACCCCAGGTGATGGAGGGTGCTGTGGTGCAGTCGGCTTCCTCTGGAGGGGAACCGTCCTGGATCCTCCCTGTCACATGTCACGTCCCACTGATGCCCCTGGAGCCACTTAGGGAACCTTCTGCCACAGTGTCCCTGCCTCCCTCCTGCCCTGGAGCATGCTGACTCCTGCGTCCACACAGGGACAGCCTATTCCCTGCTCGACGCTCGGGTCCTGTGGCCACCCACTGAGGCTGCTCAGGCTCCAGCGGGGTGCCTGCTGCCTGTGCCTGCCAGCACCTGTGGGCTCCAAGCTGCTGGTCACTCCTCTTCTGGGTCAGCTCCACAGTGAGCCCTGGCCCTCTGGGGCCAGGGACAAGTGACTGGTCCCTGTGCTGGGAGCAGGTTCCCGCAGAGTGGGTGGTGTGGGAGGGTGGTCACGCTCGCTGGGTGGGATGATGGGCACCGGGAGAGAGCGGAAAAGACGGAGCCAGGTCTCGTGCCTGTGGGGTCACTCGCCACAGCAGGGAGGGGCTGCGGGGCCCGTGGGGCCTGTGCTGGAAAGACCCTCAGCTTGACGGTTCTCCCCATGGGAAGTGGAGGCAGGAGGCTGGGGAGGGACCATGGACAGCCATCGCCCAGAGCAGCCTCCGCGCCCAGGGGCCTGGGCCACCTGGCTCTGTCTTCCCTACTGTGGACCAAGGGTCTCCAGGCCTTACCCCAGGGAGCTCTGAGCAAAAGGATGTTCTTGCTCACGCACATGGAGGGTGGAGGCCACCTGGCCACTCTGAGTGGGCCTACCTCCCACCTGGCTGGCACAGTGCCGGCCCCAGTTCTGGGCACACGGCTCTGGGACGGCCACTGAGTGGTGATCTCACTCAGGAGTGCCGCAGGCCGGGGCAGCCCCTGGCCAGGTGGGGGGCTCTCCTGCCGCCTCTGGACCTCTTCAGCGTGGCCTGTACCTCCCTGGACTCTCAGCACCCAGCTGTGGCTCTGTGGTCCAGCTCCTTCCTGTCCTTCAGCCCCTGTGGTGCCCCCAGCTGGGAAGGGGAACAGGAGGGTGGGGGCAGCTTCCTGCCTGTCCCAGGGTGGAGCGCGGAGCTGGTGGTCTTCAGGTCAGGAAAGGCAGGGGGATATCTGTCCACGCCCCTGGCCGTTCAGCTGCTGGACCCTGACTGCCAGTTCCAGCCTGGCCATGAGTGCCTCTGGTTCTAGGCCAGCACCTCTTCTGAGGTGCCCACTGGGTGAGCAGCCCTTGGGGCCCCCACCTGCCCGGACCTGCCCACCTGGCCAGGGTCCTTGGGGTGGAGACTCTGGGGTGGGTGAGGCTGAGGGCTGCTGGGACACTGCTCGGGCTCACCCGGCTCAGAGGAGACTCATGTCCAGCACTCCACAGCTGGGCAGCGGGGCCTGCAGTGGGGCACTCAGAGGAGGTGAGCCACGGCCAGTACTCCATGACAGCAGCTGGGGACGGCCAGCCCTCTGGCACTGCTCCCAAGCTGCTGTTCCTGAGAGGTCAGATGGGGCCTGGGAACCAGGACGAGGGAGGGACTGGAGAGGCCTTCGTCCCCGAAGGAGGGATGGAAAATGGAGAGATGGGGGTCGGTGGGCAGGGGCAGGAGGAAGGAGGCCCTGGTGAGACAGACGAGGAGGGCAAGGACAGAGCAGGCTGGCCCGCTCGCCGAGTCGGAACCTTGGGCTTGTCTTTGGGGGGCTGGAGGAGGGGTCCTGCCCTGCAGCCCATGCAGCCCCGGGGCAGTACGGGCCCTTGCACGTGTGGCCCGAGATCCAGGACTGGCCTCCCTTGGCGTGCTGCGGCCCATGCAGTCCCTGGACCCCACTTGTCCAAGCTCTTCTGGGGACAACACCTCACACACACACTGGTGACCCACATCAGGATGGTTCAGGTGGCCTCTGCCCCTGCCCCTCA